GATTTTCTGCATACGGAAGTAATGCGCGCACTAGAATCATAACCTATCCCCACTGATCATAATCTATGTGCAAGCCGTACATCAATGCGACTTCAGGAGGCTGTAGGCGCATTTCACTGTCAAAGAGATGCCTGCTATGCCCAACGTCCAAGTGGGTCAGCATCTTCAGCTTGATCAAGTCCTTCGGCAGTGCTTGCAGTTGCTCGCAACCAAACAGATCTAATTTTGCAAGCCTGCTCAAGCGCACAAAGTTAGGAGGAAGCGCGTGGATAGCCGTGCTGTGCAAATCCAGCTTACGGAGGCAAGATAGTTGGGTAAGAGATGAAGGAAGGTGCTCCAAGGCAGCACATTCGGAAAAACTGAGTTTCTGCAGCCTGGATAAAGTAATGATGGCATCGGGAATGGAAGTCAACTTGGCTGCATGAATCTTCAAGGATGTCAGGTGCTGAAGCATGGTGATCGATGCTGGCAGCTCAGTCAGCGAATTCGCATCAGCCAACTTCAGCTTCCGTAGCTGCTGCACTGCCGGTCCAAAAGCTGGCAGTTCCTTCAGGCTATTGGCGTTTGAAATCTCCAGAGTGCGCAGGTCCGGAGAAAATTCCAAGGAAAATGGAAACTCCTCAGCATCTTCTTCCAATACCATCTTCAAGTGCTTCAGATGCATCAAGTTTCTGCTGATCTCCTCTCCGAACTCCACATGACCCCGTGCTGATCTCGCCTCTCCATACTCCCAATGACCCCGCGTGTATCTCATATACTGGCTGTAGTCCCCCAAGCTCAAAGCCTCAACGGAAGGTGGCAGCACCTCTGGAGGTTCATGCGGCATTGTGAATCTTGGAAGCTTCAGAAAATTCAGCTTCTTACAATTGTACAGCCTCTTGGGTACCGAAATCCCTTCAGAACCGCCAACCACTAGCACTTGTAGATCAACAAGGCACGTAACAGACCCTGAGAGCTTTTTGATAGCGCAGGAGGTTATGGTCAGTTCTTGCAGCCTGCTCAGCTTCCCAATGTCTTCTGGAAGCTCGCCTATCATGCAATCACAAAGTTTTAGTCGCTTCAAAGAAGAGAGCTGGGTGAACGAGGCGGGAAACTGCTGTTGGCCGTAGCTGCTTCTGTCAGTCCAGTACAGAAAAAGAGTCTCGAGATTAGTGAGCCCTCCAATGTCCATTGGGAGTGTTGTTAGTGGCAACCCCTTGAGGACCAGCTTCGTGATAGCTGTCAAGCTGCAAAACCCGGCTGGTAGTTGACGAACGGTTTTGCAGTTGATAAAAACAAGTGTTTCCAAGGACATCAGTTGAGAAAACGAATCAGGGAGGTGCAATATAGGAAGGTTATCCAGCAACAATGCTCTCAGGGCAGGCAGTTGCCCAAAGTCTTCAGAGAGGCTGGAAAAAGAACTGCAACCAGAAATCGTCAGGCTCTCCAAACAACTTAAAGAAGAGAAGTCATCAGGCAACTCAACGAGATCTGTGGAGCAAATGCTCAGCTCCTGAAGAGACGGTAGAAGCTCCCCAATACTGTCAGGAAGGCGCTCGAACCGCTTGCAATTAGCAATCACTAGCCGTTCGAGCCGACTACACTGGTGTCCAGAAGGAAAAGTTAGGTCAAACCTCGGACACTTTCTGTTGAATTTCAGCGACTTCAGACCAGGCAGCCATGCCATGTCAACGGCTGGATAGGTCTGATTAGCCGGAGGGAAGTATCGGTTTGTGGAGAAGGAAAGGTCGGTAAGGCTCACAAGCTTAGATATGTTTAATAGCTGCTGCTGTTGAATATTTGGGGAGGTAATGGTCAGAGCGGTGAGCAAAGTCAGATTCGCGAAGGCAGGAACTTCTAAAGCTGAAGAATCTGGTAGCACTAGACTCTGGAGATTTGTTAGGTGGAAAAACGAGGCAGGGAGCTTGACCCTCCTATGAAGGCAATGGAGCGAAAGATGCTCGAGTTGAGTGGACTGCTGGAAGAAGCGATCCAGACCAGCTTCACTGACCGGATGCAGCTCCTTCCTCTCATCATACTCAGAATGCTCTGTGATCCAAGATCCGACGTGGAGAGTCTTCAGCTTAGGACATGACAAAGCTAGGTGGGTGAGGAACGCGTCATCTAGAGTCTGTAAGCTCGAGTTGCAGAGATGGAGTTGGGTCAGGTTCGGAAAGCAAGAGATCGCGTTTGAGAGATCATAGAGAGAGACATACAGACCCTCTCTGACTGAAAGCTTTGAAACGTGTTGCTGAGCTAGATGGCGCCATCGCCGGCACACAGATGCGATGTGGAGGGAGAACGCTGCATCCGTGAAGGCAGGAGGTGTTGGCACCTCGTCTGGCTCATAAAAGATAATAGAGCCAGCTTCCCAAGGATCTTCTGACCAAGATGCTTTCGGGTTTACATGCAGTTCCTTGGTAGGAAGCCATAGAATCCGGACGAGGAGGTCGTCCGGAAGGTTATCGATGTGCGAGCAACTCTCCATTTCAAATATCTTAACTCAGGAACAGCGATGCTGCAGGAAGGACGACAGTCGACGTGCTTGTCAAGTAAAACGGAAACCCAGCGAAGCAGGGAAGGAATGAAGAATATCACCTTTCACTAACCCGGGAGTGTTTCCAGAGGACGATGAGATCACGAGAGCCCATGAGCTCCAAAAGGTCAGCCTCGCTGGTTCTTCAAAGAATTGGGGCTTCAGGAATTCCGGGTTCCAATCAGAGTCGTGCGTTTCGACTACCCGCGCTCCTCGCTGCTCCATGAAGCCATCAGCTTCGCAGATCCCGAGAGTCGTCCTGGATCTGGACTGAAAGGTGGGCTAAGCTGACTAGATTTCGTACTGGACTAGGGCTGAGCTGACATGGCTGGGCTAATGGAACTAAATCCGAAGGGCGTGTTAGGTTTGTTGTGTCTCCTGATTGATGCTTGGCGGAAGTGTTGCTCGAGATTATGTAACGCTGCATGCCCTCTATATAACCCAATCGATTTCAGAGTCCAGACTTTCAGCCGTCGGATGTGATGCATGTCTCTTTGCAAGCCCTGTCAGCCGTCGATCTATCGTCTTAGCTTTCAACGAATCTCCCAACCTTTGTGTCAAAATGACCAAACGCTCTGCAGCGTACTGCACCGAAGTGGGCGCCTACAAGGATGTGGCAAACTCTTTTTGACAGAGTGCGAGCTTCAAGTTTTCATGGTGGTCCCTCAGTGCACCAGCTAGAGCTACTAGCTGATTCGCGACTCGCGAGTCGTGCCAGATCAAACTTACTGTGACTCAACCGCGACGCTTCAGCAGAAGGGACGCTTTTGCGAGGTCAGGGAGAAGTGCAGAAGGGACGCAGCGAAAGCCGGCTGCAGCAGCGTTAGTAGATTCAACGCAACGGTATGGCTCTGTGTGTGGGGTTCGGCAATGAGTGCATCGCGTTAGTAGATTCAACGCAACGGTGTTTGGCTCTATTGTTCTCGTCCTTGAGCCGACGCTGTTTTCGGGGGATCCCTCCGCGCTTCGCCATTCTCGCTTCGCAGTCACTACAGGAGGGTCATTGGGGGTCATGGAGGTCGTGTCGCGCTTCGCCATCCCGTCCACCGTCGCACCGAGTCCGCTTGAGTGGCGGCTCATCGCCATTCACCGTCGCTGCATCCCTCCGTGCTTCGCCGCCATCGCAATTCGCCGTTGTCGCGTTCACGATGCGCTTCGCCATCCCGTCCACCGTCGCGCCGAGTCTTCCGAAGCTCCGCGCTTCGCCGTCAGTGCAATTTCCCTTCGCACCGTCGCTTCGCCATCTATCTGACTCGATTGTCGCGGGATGACTCGTTTCGCATGCTCCGCCGCATCATGCTCTGCAGTGTGCACGCCCAGTGAGCAGAGAGCACGCGAACGGGGCCTACGGCGAACGCAGTGACGCGGGAGGAATCAGGCGGCCACACGCACCGGGGACGCTAAACAGCGGATGCACGGCGTGCGCCGACGTGTAGGGTCGGCGAGTGTCAGGGTTGCGAGTTCTGAGGCGACTCGATACGCGACGGCGAACAGCGGGTGCATGGCGTGCGCCAACGCGTAGGTTGGGCGAGTGCGAGGGTTGCGAGGACAGCCGGAGGTTGAGGAAGCTGGTGCGAAAGAGAACAGGCGGGCGCACAGCGAGTGAGGGTTGAGAGGAATGGGTTGAGAGGAGGAGCAGGGATTTGAGGCACGATTCTCTGCATGGCGTGTCGTGCGTGAGAGGGATGTTGCAAGATGGGTCGTAGGAAAGTGCAGCTCGACTTAACGGCATGACATGCCACGGGGATGATACATGATGGGAGTATGCATGATGGGATGATGCATGATGGGATGGTGTGAACGCATGGTAAGTGTCATCGTGACACACGTGTGAAGGCATAAGACGTGATAGGGATGCATGAGCGGATGATGCATGATCGGATGACATGTAACGTCATGACCAGAGAACGCAAGTGATGTGAAACGAATGAATGAGCATCAAATGGCTTGGTTCTTACATTCACCAATTCAGCTAGATACACTGTTTTGTCTCCAGATTGTCAGTGTAGCTCCATGTGTCATATGACGAGTTTCAACTCATAGCTCATTTCTCCTTGCCTCTGTTGGCCAGCTCAACCCTCCCTTGCTTTCTTCTTTCCATCCGCAAAATCCCATCAGCATATTTTTCTGAATTCCATCGTATCATCATGTCACGACATGTCACTCACACATGTCCCTGCGCACATCACTCACACATGTCAGACCCATCCGCTTCACAATAGCCTTCTTTGTCAACCTACTGCTATTCCGTTTTTCCTTCAAGCCCCATCTCACCCTTACCCCATCCCCTCTTCACCCCCCACCACCCCTGCCCTCAACGAGTGCATCTAAGGCTCCTCCCCTCACTCCACCCCAACCCCTTTTCACCCAACCAAACTACTTGATATTGAGCATTTTTGCGTCGCTCCCATCACTGTCCTCTCAACTTCTTGCCCCTGAAACATCGTCTCCTTTTTTCCCTGCATTCCCCCATTCACCTATTCAGCCCCACTGAGGGGCTCCAGAGCCCAACAGTGGCCTTTTCTCCTGTCCATTGGCAAGGTATTTGCGTTCGTGCATACGTGTTCTGGGTCGTCTCAAAGTACAATTTGCAGGTGTGTCTTTTTGTGTGGGTGTGCATGCGCGTGTGCATGAGGGGAGTGTGGCCTGTTTGGCTACTCGCGCTCTCATGTTTGTTGTCCTTGCGTTGCCCGTTTACTGTTTCACATAGTCAATTCCCCCATTCCCCTCTCCCCTCTTTCCTCTCCCCTCTCCCCTCTCTCCTCTCCCCTCTCCCCTCTCCCCTCTCCCCTCACGTGTTCCCTGCTTACCTGTTCCCAGATTTCTTCCCAACCCCCTCTCCTCTGTCAGTTGCATGTTGTGCAGAGGCACACCTGTGCTCTTGTCCCCATCCCACTCACTCCTGCTCTCATCCATTTCCTCCTGCTAGAGCGCACGAGGCACAAGCTGCATGGCATCAGGTTCGTGAAAGGACATGAGGGGTACATTAGGGGTTGTGAGGGGTTCATGATCATGGGGGTCATGAGGGTCACTATTGATTTCCCCATCCCCTCCTTGTGCTCTTTCCCCGTCCCCACTCTATTTTACCCTCACTGGTTCCCCCCCTGTCAGAGTGCAATGAGACACAAGCTGCACGGGATCAGAGGTCATGAGGGGTTCATGAGGAGTGGTGAAGGGGTCTTAAGGGGTCATGAGTGGTGAAGGGGTCTTGAGGGGTCATGAGTGGTGAAGGGGTCTTGAGGGGTCATGAGTGGTTCATTAGTGCATGGGTGTCATGGGGGTCAGGGAGATGATGAGAGATGAGTGTAGTAGGGCGTGAGGGCCGAACGAGGTACGTATTATCACGCCTGGGGAGAAACAGCATGGTCAGCTTGGGGGAGGGTGAAGCATCTGACTGAAGCTCCTCTCCTCATTCCAACCCAATTCCCTTTTACCCTGATCCTTTTCCCCCGTTGCAGTGAGACCATTAGTTCTTTGAAGTCTCGCTGAGGGTTTTACCAGCCCTCAGTTTTCGTGGCTTCAAATACTTAAATTCTAACAACCCTCCTGCAGCTTCAAGTACCGTACCATCAATTTGTCAATGCTGGAAGATGCTTTGCTGTTGCAGAGTGCAACATCAGCCGTTTACTACAATCACAGCCAGAACAGAGACCTCCCATCAACACAGGCTGTATCATGTCGCGGCTGATATTGGTACGTAGTACTGGTAACAAGGGAAGCAGCTGCTTGTTCAGTTGACAAAAGGTACCATGCAGAACCGATGCTACTTCGGAACCATTGAGATACCTTGCTACCACCACTTAGCCGGTGAAACAAGTTGAAATGGCAAACGCAGGCATATGCACATAGTATCTATCTACCTACACACAGACTGTTACACTAGATCGTCTTCATAGCTATCATCTGGCATTCGGCTTCTGATAAGTTCCTCTAGCGCCCATCTACACGTAACAGGCATCTCTTCCGGCAGAGCCTGCAGTTGCGCACAACCAGACAAGTTGAGTCGCCTCAGAGTGGTCAGCTGTGCAAAACCGGGAGGCAGGGATCGAATGCCAGTGCATAAAAGCTGCAGCAGGGAAATGGAAGAGAGCTGGGCGAAAGAATCTGGCAGGTAATTCAGAGAGGGACAGAACGTCAGCCACAAGTCCCGAAGCCTTGATTGCGCACCAATGTTTTTTCGGGAGGGAAGACAGCTTGGGTGCATGTTGGATCTCCAAGCATGTCAGTTTACGAAGCTCCGCAACACTTGCTGGCAGCTCCACCAGCTCTCGAGCATATGTTATATTCAGCTCCCGCAGCTGGTGCAATGCTAGCCCGAAGTCATTGGGTAGTCGCTGCAGTTTTCCAGGCCTTTCCAAGGTCAAAAGGTGTAGCTGGGAAAGGCAGATCAAGGGTAAAAACAGCTCCTCCTCCTCTGCATCCTCTGTCATTTCTATCATCAGGATCTGCAGGCATGACAAATCGTTGTTCCGAAGGACGGTAAGCTCTTTTGAATCCCCCACTCTGAGTAGCTCCAGTGACAGTGGCAGAGCGTCAGGAAATTCTTCCAGACTGTTCTTATATCCAGTAAGATCCAGCCGTTTTAGCCTCACGAGCCCATCCAGCCTCGGCACCGAAGTAAATTCATGTGAAGTCGCTCTCAGGGCGCATTCCTGTGGGGACACAAATGTCTCAATCGCTTTGTGACACACAAAAACAGCATAAACTGTAGTGTGTCCCAATTGCGAGTCGCTTTTCCGCGGCCATTACTGTATTTTCTATAGGTTAGCGTGAAACGCGCTGACGTCGCTGACGAATTGTAATCCGTCTCGTCAATGTGAAAAAATCGCAGGCGGCTCGAAATGTCAATGCACCTGGACAGCCTGCAATGCCAATTTCGTGCGGGAAAAAATCCCGCGCGTCGAAACCACACCCCAGCCAGGCGGTTGGAAAAAGGGATGTACAGTCATTTGTGTCACCCAATCAAATGCGCACAACTGTACATTTCGCCTGGTCGCCTAGAGTCGCTATACATTCATTTTTTGTGACGCGAGATTGACAAAATGTTTCGACGCGACGCGACGAGACACTTGTGTCCCCACAGGAATGCACCCTCAGAATCTCCAAGCTGCTGATGCATGAGACGCTCTCAGGAAGGCTTTTAATATTGGCTGCGTTCTGCAGGCGCATCAGCTCTGATGCGTCTGAGGCTCGGGCTGATGCGCACATTGAGATATTGAGGTTCGGAAATGACAAAATTGAAATCGATAAATTGAGGTTCGGACGAGGTTCGGACGAGGTTCCCGAAATCTTCTATTTCCAATTTTCCGAACCACGTCCGAACCTCGAATTTGGGCATGTCAGATCTCGAAATCCAATTTCCTCAAATTTTCAAAATCTTATGGGTTTCTAGGAAGTTAGACCGCAAATTTTTCTAATGGTGCCAACCAATGAGGGTTTAGGAAGAAACAAATTGACGAATGAGGGTGCTCCGCACCAGCTGATGCGCGCATCATGCGACTTCTCGGAGTTGCATGATGCGCGCATCAATGATGCGCCAGATTGCTAGGACGAGAAATTTCTCGTAAATCGGCAACATGTTAAATTTTGGTCGCCGAAAAGGCCGTTCTACAGGCATTCGGTTTTGTTTCGCTTCGGCAGCCATGCGCTTATCGCGAACCTTGATAACCTCTCGGCAGGTTATGACGGAAGTATCTCGGAACCGTGGTAGAATGCATCAATGTACATTGATGCGGGCTGATGCGCCCACAGAACGCAGCCATTGTGGACAACTGTTGGGGTCGCTCGAACTTCCGTGTCAATGAATCGGGTAACACACTTCCGAGGCCATCAAGATTACTAATCTTGATGGCCGCGGCTTGCAATTTGGGCCTTGAGCTTTAACCAGCTCCCCGATGCCCTCGGGTAGTTCACCAATCACACAGCGACTCAAATCAAGCCTGGTCAAAGAAGTCATCCGCGTGAATGAGGCTGGCAGCAGCAGCTGCCTGTCATTTGTGTCCATTAGAAATGTCTGGAGGCCAGTCAGGTCTCCAATGTCTTCCGGAAGTGTTAAAGCTCAAGGCCCAAATTGCACAACAATAGTAATCTTGATGGGGGGGGATGAGCCTGGCGAGAGACTTCCAAGGGGAAGGGTGTTGGAAGTGGGGTACCGCATGAGCGAAATTGGCGATTTTGGGGGTGGCGAAAGCTTGTTGTCCGCAGCTGAATGATACCCAATCACAGTGAAGAACCAATTTGTGGTCAAAAACATAACACAAGTTTGGCGTACCAACCACCACACTTCGGACACAACCCTAGGTGCGCCTTGTACACAAACCAATTCGACACACCACTCCCACACCCACCTGCTGAATAAAAAAAGCGGAGAAAACGCTATTATCATGCCGCATTCAACTCGCCGATAACAGACAAGCACCCAGAACATCTAGGTCTTAGAGGACAGAGTACATAAGCATTTGCCAGGGTTGAAAAGGGTAGCTAATGCGCAACTTGCGCCATAAACGCAGGTCCCATCGAACAAAGCGCGCCCCACGTAGTATATGGCAGAGCGCACCCGTGCGCATCTCAGCTGAAACTCCCGCACGGTCGTATTGCTCTTGATTAGGGTCTCCATGCAGCGCCATTACGCATCACTAAGGACGCTCGAAAACGGAGTGTAAGAGGTTGGTTTAGCAGTCGTTGTAGGAAGGAGCAAGGCGTGAACCACCTGTACACGGAGCAGCATAGTTTAAATACAGTTGCCACCCAAATCCGCAGCACCGATGGCTCGTCGGCGTCAAAAAAACATCTCAGGCAGGTCCGTATTGGAGCATGCATCACCAATCACGCACCATGCCAGTGAAGTAAGCACCTTCGGTCGGATTTGGAAATGGTCCCATACCCCCCCACATGGCATAACACCATGCCAGTGCATTGGCACATTTGTCACTCTTGAGAGGTACAGGCACACTGCGCCACGGCGCTCCCACCGCCATGCTCTAATATCTGGATAGAGTGACGCTTTCGCCTCTCACAAAAGGCACAATCCTCTTGGGCTTCTCTGCCCTGAGCTTCCCCTGCCCTGAGCTTCCCCTGCCCTGAGCTTCCCCTGCCCTGAGCTTCCCCTGCCCTGAGGTTCCCCTGCCTTGGGCTTCCCTGCCCTGGGCTTACCTGCCCTGGGCTTTCCTGCCCTGGGCTTACCTGCCCTGGGCTTCCCTGCCCTGGGCTTACCTGCCCTGGGCTTTCCTGCCCTGGGCTTCCCTACCTGAGCTTCCCCGCCTTGAGCTTCCATGCCCTGGGCTTCCCTGCCCTGGGCTTCTTTCCTTTGGGCTTCCCTGCCCTGGGCATTTTGAGGCCTGAGCTTCCATGCCCTGGGCTTCCCTGCCCTGGGCTTCCCTGGCCTAGGCTTACCTGCCTGAGCTTACCCGCCCTAGGCTTCCCTGGCTTGGGCTTCCCTGCCCTGAGCTGACCCGCCTTGGGCTTACCTGCCTTGGGCTTACCTGCCCTGGGCTTCCCTGCCCTGGGCTTTCCTGCCTTGTGCTTCCCTACCTGAGCTTCCCCGCCCTGGGCTTTTTTGCCCTGGGCTTCCCTCCCTTGGGCTTCCCTGCCCTGGGCATTTTGAGGCCTGAGCTTCCATGCCCTGGGCTTCCCTGCCCTGGGCTTCCCTGGCCTAGGCTTACCTGCCTGAGCTTACCCGCCCTGGGCTTCCCTGGCTTGGGCTTCCCTGCCCTGAGCTGACCCACCTTGGGCTTACCCGCCCTGGGCTTCCCTGCCCTGTGCTTCCCTGCCTGAGCTTACCCGCCTTGGGATTCCCTGCCGTAGGCATTCATTCCAGCACACATTCACAGACTTTTTTGCACACCCCAACCCCCCCCCCCCCCCCCCTGCCCTCCCTCTATCGCAGGCTCACAAATGATGTGGCCCCGGACGGGGACCATCCGGCGAAAGAGCTCAGCAAGGAGCATGACAAGCCTATGCACGGAATATCAAAGCATATGCGCCCTGTCATATGCCTCCAGCGGTGCGGGTTGTCGGCACTTATGGGAGGCGAGAACGTTGCGACGACTGCAGATGTTCTCTACTACTTTATGATGAATGCTCCGGCTGCATGCAAACGGCTTATGCGGGCAGCAAAAGAAGCTGGTGAATGTTTATGGATAGTGGGAACGCGTGGTGATTGCTGTTGCATGTGCGCTAATAACCAGGGGTTTGTACATCCTCATACAACGATCGTGCAACCAAGCTGCATTTTATCCACGTGAATCCCCATCCAGGTGCGAATGGGGCGAATGCGGTAGCGACGGCAGAGCTACATCTGGAGTCATACGGGCGTCAGTTTGATTCGCGGGCGAACGATGGTGTGAACGCGGTGACCACGATAATGGGGAAGGCTGATCGTGAACTCAAGGGGCTTGTATACGACTTCCCTGCCTACAAGGAGGATCATCGCGGACGATTACGCCCCGTTGCTGGAAATGGGTGGGGTGGGCCCCGGAAAGGCAAGGCGTTCGAGGAAATGCGCACACAAGGTGAGATATGGAATGGGGATGAAAGGTTAGTAAGCCGCTTTAACCATACATCCAGCCAAGAAAACATGCACAAAACTCGAGGAAGCGGAAACCCCATACCAATCTCGTGAAAAAAAAAACAGTGAGTACTCGCCTTGTGTGATATGCACGCAGGGGATGCAGATGGTGGGGCTGTGGAACTCGACAGCGTCCCCATCCCGACGGTGGGATCGGCGTGCACAATTGCAGAGGGAGGTGACCGTCATGTGGGACCAACACATCAAGAAGATGCAGCGTTGGATCACAATGAAAGGTTGGAGTGTGTTATTATACTCAAGATTCTGAAATCTTTGCGAGCATCCCACGGAATTTTGCTTGTTTACCTTGGGCAAGCATTGGGGAGATAGTTTGCTGATATGGTGGGGAACAGAGCAGCTAGCATTACAGAAACAAGTGCCATCCTTCTCCCCTTCGGGTGTTGCCGCCTTCTCCTTTTTGTTTAGTAACCCTCTCCATCCCTACCCATCCATTTTCGTCACTGACCTTTGCTGGCCCAACCAACAACAGGACGACAACTCGAGACAAAACAACCAGCAAGAGGCCAAAACCAGTTCCACGTGGGTGGTCAGCCGCTCCAAGCATCACGGATGTGCCTGAGTACACGGTATGCCTTCTACAACCGAAGCACTTGCTCGAAACGGTGGGATCACTACAGATTTGTTGCACACGAGCGGGCTGTTCTGGGAGTATGGCACTCGTGTCGTGGAAAACAGCATGGGCCTGTTTCGGACTTTATTGGCACTCTAACACGTGCACAAGCGGCAGGGAAGTATGGTCAAGTCCGAAAAAGGAGCACACATCAAATATGAGAAAGACCGGGCCAAGGACGTCAAAGCTCATGCCCAGGTTCGTCGGTGCCTTCGCCCTTGCGGGGGTAGGATTTCAAGTGATGTGGGAAGTTTGTCGCAATCTTGGACTTCCGAATCCGGGCAAGGGAACATTCTATCGTTTGCTGCAGGGTGAAGATGGTTTATGGAATGCCATTATTCGTGCTGCACAGAACTCGATGGGGGACGTGCGTACCACTTTATCCAAGAGAGTGGGTGGCGTGGGTTACATCAGTGTTGATGGCAGATGGTCACAAGCGCGAGAGGCAGAGTGGTGTACTGTGTCCTTCCTCCATCCTGAAAGTAGGAAAATCTTGCATGTAGAGACCACAAAACTTGACGTCGATGATGACTCCGCACCGAGGCTCGAAAGTGTAGGATTCAAAAGGGGGATGGACTTCCTCAAGGAGCAGGGGTTTGAGATGGAGGGGATTGTTACCGATGAGGGTAGCACCTTTCGAGGTGCTGCTGTAGAAAGAGGAATCCGTCATCAGATTGACTGGTGGCATAAAAGACGATCGGTGGTGAAAAGATTTGAAAACGAGCTGCAGAACCTTGTTAGAAAAGTGGTGGATATTGATAACGCTGAGACTGTTGAGGACCTTCACATGCACACCTTGAAGAAGTTGAAGGCTTGGTTACTAAAGAAGGCTCCAAGCAAAGCGGAGGGCAAAACGGGAAAGGATGAGTTCATCGAGACAGTTTGCAGTGAGCTCGGTATTGTTTATCGTTATGTGAAACCGGCCGATGCAAAATGGATGCATCTGGAATTGCAGCAGGTGACGTGCGCCAAAGGGTTGCACGAGGCTAGTCGTGGGCCAGAGCCACATAGGAGCGAAGAGGATGGAGAGGATAATGAAACGGTTGACATACCGGTTATGCTCTCATTGATACATGAACATGGCGTGCCTGCGCATGAGGGAACGGGAGATGGTGGTGATGCGGTTGAGATGCTGGAGGGTCCAGTGTCAGTAGAAGTTTGTTGGCGGGATGTGGAGGAGCTGTGGGGGTACGACATCCACCCTGAGCATGGGTTGTGTCCCTCATCACAAGCGTCTCTGGTGGTCGCACTCGCTTGCAATGGCGCTCGCGCTGATACGGATTTCTTGGGAGAACCAATCGATCAAGCACCACCAACGACCCCTCAGACAGGTACATTATCTAATCATCATAGCCACTCTTCTCGTTCATACTATCCCCAATGCACCACCCACTTCATTACCACATCACCACACCCCCTTGCTGTTTTTGCTCACTCCATTACCACATCACCGTATCCCCACTGTTTATACTCATTCCATTACCATATCACCACATCTTTCAGTGTTATTTATCATTCCATTCCAATTCATCACACCACCCACTGTTTTTGCTCACTCCATTATCAAATCACCACACCCCTCTACCGTTCTTGCTCACTATATTACCACATCCCCACACCACCCACTATTTATGCTCATTTCATTACCATATCACCACACACCCTTCAATGGTTTCTATCATTCCAATACCAATTCATCACACCACCCACTGTGTTTGCTCACTCCAATATCACAGCAGCACACCCCCCTATTGTTTTTGCTCACTCTATCACCCCCTCACCACACCCTCCATTGTGTTTGCTCACTCCATTACCACATCACTACACCCCCATCTGTTTATGCCCACTATTCAACCACCTCACCACACCACCCACCGTTTATGATGATGCCATTACCGATTTGCAACACCACCTACTGTTTTTGCTCACTCCATTACCATATCACCATACCCCTCAATGTGTATGGTACTCCATTACCATATCACCACACCACCAGCTCAAGTCACTATAACATATCGTCACATTCTTCTACATTTGTGACAACTTGCAGGAAGCCAACCCAAAGTTTCCGTCGATGACTGCATGAGGGGAGGGATGTGGGGCGCGAGTGACAATGATAAGGCGGACCATGTCCTTCCTCCATCCCTGCCCTGCACCTGGTTGCCGAAACCCAAGAACTTTTGCCAATCAGTGCCGATGAGACGTAGCCCACCAGCTCACATGCACACGGGCCAAGGGCTCCCGTGTACAGCGAAGGCAGGGAGGGCAGGGAGATCATGGGATAGCAGCATACCTAGAGCAGCGAGGCGCGTGTCAAGCATGTTGCCCATCTGCACGCGCACACACACACACACAGCGAAGGGGATGGGCAGGGAAAAGAGAGCGTTGGAACAGGAGGTGATGGGAAGGCAAAAGATGAAATCTGAGTGGTACGGGTAGGAAGGGGGAATGGAACGGAAGTGGAGAGGGAGGTGGACGGACGTATGGCGATGAGGATGGATGGGGGAGCAGCCATGCGAGCGGTGACGTTGAAGGACGAGACAGCAAAGCATGGTGCTGAACAGCTTCACGGCGTGTTGGGTGGCATGGCAGCCGAGCCAACGGTGGAGCATGACACGGGCATACCAGGTTGAAGTGCTCGTACTGCTGATTGCCCAGCCCAAACACGGCAAAGCGCATGGGACGGCTGGGGACTGAGGTATGAACAGAGGGGTGGTGGCAGGTTAACGGCACAGCATGAACCAGTCATGAAGGGCAACACGCACGCGCTGCACCTAGCCTCTCCACCGCTGCTTACCTCTACCTCTGCAGCAGCAGCATCCACTTGAAGAAACGCTGCACACCGTCCGTTGGCTCTCCCTCAACGTAGCTGCCCACGGAAGAGGGAGGGGAGGGGAGGAGGTGAGCAATGGGGGAAAGGCATGGGCAAGGCGGAAAGGCATGGGCAAGGGGGAAAGGCATGGGCAAGGGGGAAAGGCATGGGCAAGGGGGAAAGGCATGGGCAAGGGGGATAGGCATGGGCAAGGGGGATAGGCATGGGCAAGGGGGATAGGCATGGGCAAGGGGGGAAAGGCATGGGCAAGGCGGATAGGCATGGGCAAAGGGGGAAAGGGACGGGCAATGGGGAAAGGCATGGGCAAGGGGGGAAAGGCATGGGCAAGGGGGAAAGGCATGGGCTAGGGGGAAAGGCATGGGCTAGGGGGAAAGGCATGGGCAAAGGGGATAGGCATGGGCAAGGGGGAAAGGCATGGGCAAGGGGGAAAGGCATGGGCAAGGGGGAAAGGCATGGGCAAGGGGGAAAGGCATGGGCTAGGGGGAAAGGCATGGGCAAGGGGGATAGGCATGGGCAAGGGGGATAGGCATGGGCAAGGCGGATAGGCATGGGCAAGGCGGATAGGCATGGGCAAGGCGGATAGGCATGGGCAAGGGGGAAAGGCATGGGCAAGGGGGAAAGGCATGGGCAAGGCGGAAAGGCATGGGCAAGGCGGAAAGGCATGGGCAAGGGGGAAAGGCATGGGCAAGGGGGAAAGGGACGGGCATTGGGGAAAGGCATGGGCAAGGGGGAAAGGCATGGGCAAGGGGGAAAGGAATGGGCAAGGCGGATAGGCATGGGCAAAGGGGGAAAGGGACGGGCAATGGGGAAAGGCATGGGCAAGGGGGGAAAGGCATGGGCAAGGGGGAAAGGCATGGGCTAGGGGGAAAGGCATGGGCAAGGGGGATAGGCATGGGCAAGGCGGATAGGCATGGGCAAGGCGGATAGGCATGGGCAAAGGGGGAAAGGGACGGGCAAGGCGGAAAGGCATGGGCAAGGGGGAAAGGCATGGGCAAGGGGGAAAGGCATGGGCAAGGGGGAAAGGCATGGGCTAGGGGGAAAGGCATGGGCAAGGGGGATAGGCATGGGCAAGGGGGATAGGCATGGGCAAGGCGGATAGGCATGGGCAAGGCGGATAGGCATGGGCAAGGCGGATAGGCATGGGCAAGGGGGAAAGGCATGGGCAAGGGGGAAAGGCATGGGCAAGGCGGAAAGGCATGGGCAAGGCGGAAAGGCATGGGCAAGGGGGAAAGGCATGGGCAAGGGGGAAAGGGACGGGCATTGGGGAAAGGCATGGGCAAGGGGGGAAAGGCATGGGCAAGGGGGAAAGGCATGGGCTAGGGGGAAAGGCATGGGCAAGGGGGATAGGCATGGGCAAGGCGGATAGGCATGGGCAAGGCGGATAGGCATGGGCAAAGGGGGAAAGGGACGGGCAAGGCGGAAAGGCATGGGCAAGGGGGAAAGGCATGGGCAAGGGGGAAAGGCATGGGCAAGGGGGAAAGGGACGGGCAAGGGGGAAAGGCATGGACAAGGGGGAACGGCATGGGCAAGGCGGAAAGGAATGGGCAAGGCGGATAGGCATGGGCAAAGGGGGAAAGGGACCGGCGATGGGGAAAGGCATGGGCAAGGGGGAAAGGCATGGGCTAGGGGGAAAGGCATGGGCAAGGGGGATAGGCATGGGCAAGGGGGATAGGCATGGGCAAGGCGGATAGGCATGGGCAAGGGGGAAATGCATGGGCAAGGCGGAAAGGCATGGGCAAGGGGGAAAGGCATGGGCAAGGCGGAAAGGCATGGGCAAGGGGGAAAGGCATGGGCAAGGGGGAAAGGGACGGGCATTGGGGAAAGGCATGGGCAAGGGGGAAAGGCATGGGCAAGGGGGAAAGGAATGGGCAAGGCGGATAGGCATGGGCAAAGGGGGAAAGGGACGGGCAATGGGGAAAGGCATGGGCAAGGGGGGAAAGGCATGGGCAAGGGGGAAAGGCATGGGCTAGGGGGAAAGGCATGGGCAAGGGGGATAGGCATGGGCAAGGCGGATAGGCATGGGCAAGGCGGATAGGCATGGGCAAAGGGGGAAAGGGACGGGCAAGGCGGAAAGGCATGGGCAAGGGGGAAAGGCATGGGCAAGGGGGAAAGGCATGGGCAAGGGGGAAAGGCATGGGCTAGGGGGAAAGGCATGGGCAAGGGGGATAGGCATGGGCAAGGGGGATAGGCATGGGCAAGGCGGATAGGCATGGGCAAGGCGGATAGGCATGGGCAAGGCGGATAGGCATGGGCAAGGGGGAAAGGCATGGGCAAGGGGGAAAGGCATGGGCAAGGCGGAAAGGCATGGGCAAGGCGGAAAGGCATGGGCAAGGGGGAAAGGCATGGGCAAGGGGGAAAGGGACGGGCATTGGGGAAAGGCATGGGCAAGGGGGGAAAGGCATGGGCAAGGGGGAAAGGCATGGGCTAGGGGGAAAGGCATGGGCAAGGGGGATAGGCATGGGCAAGGCGGATAGGCATGGGCAAGGCGGATAGGCATGGGCAAAGGGGGAAAGGGACGGGCAAGGCGGAAAGGCATGGGCAAGGGGGAAAGGCATGGGCAAGGGGGAAAGGCATGGGCAAGGGGGAAAGGGACGGGCAAGGGGGAAAGGCATGGACAAGGGGGAACGGCATGGGCAAGGCGGAAAGGAATGGGCAAGGCGGATAGGCATGGGCAAAGGGGGAAAGGGACCGGCAATGGGGAAAGGCATGGGCAAGGGGGAAAGGCATGGGCTAGGGGGAAAGGCATGGGCAAGGGGGATAGGCATGGGCAAGGGGGATAGGCATGGGCAAGGCGGATAGGCATGGGCAAGGGGGAAATGCATGGGCAAGGCGGAAAGGCATGGGCAAGGGGGAAAGGCATGGGCAAGGCGGAAAGGCATGGGCAAGGGGGAAAGGCATGGGCAAGGGGGAAAGGGACGGGCATTGGGGAAAGGCATGGGCAAGGGGGAAAGGCATGGGCAAGGCGGAAAGGCATGGGCAAGGGGGAAAGGCATGGGCAAGGGGGAAAGGCATGGGCAAGGGGGATAGGCATGGGCAAGGGGGATAGGCATGGGCAAGGGGGATAGGCATGGGCAAGGGGGGAACTGCACGCTCACCTGCTCCGCGTGCAGCATGCTCGCCGGTGCTGTCCACCCGGCCAGCAGAGCGCGCGGCGCTGCCTGGTGAGCGGGGGGGGCGCTGACCCGGCGGGTGGAGCGGCGCGTGGGCGCTGTGACGTTGGAGCCTGTCGTTCATCCACAGGGAGGAGAGGGAGGGGCAGAGGGGAGAGCGGAGGAAGAGACGGAGGGAGAGAGCAACGCGGACGCGCGAAGGGCAAGAGGGGTGGAGGCGCATGCAGTTGTAGAGCGCGCGGACTGCAGTCTTCCGCAGTCGCATGGCGCACATGCAGTCGCATGGCGCAGATGCAGTCGCATGGCGCACATGCAGTCGCATTGCGGCCATGCAGTCGCATGGCGCGCATGCAGTCTCATGGCGCACATGCAGTCGCATGGCGCGCATGCAGTCGCATGGCGCGCATGCAGTCGCATTGCGGCCATGCAGTCGCATGGCGCGCATGAAGTCGCATAGCGCACATGCAGGCGGCATAGCGCACATGCAGTCTAGGTGCGGGCTCGTGAATTCACAGGGCGCACACATGCAGTGAGAGACGAGCCCGCACCTAATACGACAGCGGATGAGAGACGAGCGCGGATTGTGGGACAGTCCGGATGAGAGACGAGCGCTGATTGTGGGCCAGACCGGATGAGAGACGAGCGCGGATGCGCGAGGTGCGCGGATGAGATTTCGGGCGCGGATGAGCGACGGGCGCGTATGACATTTCGCGCGCGGATGAGCGAGGAGCGCGTATGAGATTTCGAGTGCGGACGAGCCGTGAGCGCGGGTTCCCTAAGATCGCAGGTGAGCGCGGGGGTTGGTTGAGCGACGAGCGTCGGTGTGCGACGAGCCGAATGCAAACGGCATGAGAGCGGGGGGACGATGAGAACGGTCTGGTGGTGGTATACAATGGCAAAGCACTTTCCCCGCCCACACGCCCTAGGCTTTCTGGGTATCGCGTCATGCCTGCCTCAGCAGTACACACCTACGATGTCGTCTAGTTATGCCTGTTGCTGGGCGCCGAGAAGACATTGATGCGTCACATGTACGTCACCATTGAGACCTTCCTCACCGTCGAGGGTATCTTCGCGATTTTAGTAAACCTGGTCGTAGCCCTATATGTATCGCTCGTCTCTCCATTACGCATTTCGGAGGGCGTATAGGAGTGAGTGGTCAAAGGCCTGATTAGTAATCTTGCTTGGAGTGAGTGGTCTAGGTGTGTTGCCCCTTCTCCCTGGCTTTCCTCGGTGATTGAACTTCAAAAGTCCCAAATTGCGGGGCTGTGGGCGTCAAGGTGAGTATTCGGAGTCTGCCTGGTGTTAGGACCAGGGCTGCAGAGTTTCGCACGGATCCACCCAACCAATCGCGACGATTGTGGACAACTGTTGGGGTCGCTCGAACTTCCGTGTCAATGAATCGGGTAACACACTTCCGAGGCCATCAAGATTACTAATCTTGATGGCCGCGGCTTGCAATTTGGGCCTTGAGCTTTAATTGTCGTAATTCCCTAATGCAGAGCGTCCTGAGGGATGTCAAGCATCCAAACCCTTGTGGCAGCTGAGATATCTGTCTGCAGCTACTCAAAACGAATGTCTTCAAGGAAGCGAGCTGGCAGATGGAGTCAGGAAGGGTTAAAACCGGGGTGCACATTCAGCTGAATGTGCATCAAAGGTTATCCCTTGACTGAGTGGGTTACGAGGTGTGCTTTCAACCCCTTCAAGTCGAAATTCGTTTCCCCCCTCCCCCGCAATTTCGTTTCCCCACGCCCCCGCAATTTCATTTCCCCCTCCCCGTCGAAATTCGTTTCCCCCCTCCCCCGCAATTTTGTTTCCCCCCTCCCCCGCAATTTCGTTTCCCCCCCCTCCCGCCAATCTGTTTCATCCCTCCCGCCATTCGGTTTCACCCACTCCCGCCATTTCACCCCCTCCCGCCACCTACGAAATGCCCGAAGCTCTAGCGGAATCATTTTTTTGTCGCCCCTCGTGAGCCAATCACTGTTTTTCTCCAAACCCCCTTCCCAACATCTCAAGCCGAACCGCGTTGAATGTGCACCCTGGTTTTAAGAGCGGTAAATCCTTCAACACCAAGGTCTTCAGATCACGCAACCGTCCAAAATCTTCATGCAGGCAGGAAAATCGATGGCAGCAGGAAACTAATAAATCTTTGAGACGAATCAAGGAAGTAAAATCTTCTGGCAGCTCTGAGACATCGCGAAAAGGGGAAGTGCGAAAAGCAACTAAAAATACACTCTCCCGCAACTTTCCCGATATTTTTTGCCCGGCACTTTCAAGTCAAGGTTTTAGAACTGCATAGCGACAGTCACTTACAAAGCAACCTCCCAGTCACTCTTCCGTCTCTAACTGTACACATTGGGGCAACTGACCAAGTATACAGTAAAGCAACATTTCCGTCAACTTTGAGCAACCTGTGCGAAAGTGTCATGACGACGCCACGTGGCGTACGCCGTACTCTATGTTGGGCTGAAAAACCCTTAGGATCTTTGCAGGGGTGAACTCTGGGTAGAGTTGGTGTAGTAGCGGAAGCGTTAATTAAAGAGTTGTGAACCACCTTGCGCTAGTATGTGAGGGCAAAGTAAGTTGATTAAAACAAAGAGATACAAGCTTTTATAAGAGTACAAGGAATACGAAGAGATACAGTTAATAACCGTTTTACTATTGCTGTTGCGGTTCGATACAGTGACGACTCGGGCAACTGCTCAGTACCGAGTCAGTTGTTTGTCCTTGCTGTCGCGCTGTACTTTGTCAGGTCAAAGGTCGCTGACCTTTGACTTTCGCGTAACCTCCAACAGTTACTTTCAACCTCCGAGGGTTGACTCGCCGGTGATTCGTTATACTTCGTTTCTTTTGTGTCTTAGTGTTTCGACACGACAGAGGCGCTTAGGACCGATTGTTTCCAACACTCCCCTTCGCTTCTGGAGTGTCGCTGACGTGGCTCTGTCCAGTCAGCAGCATGCAGTATTCGAACTTCTGCTTTCCGAGCTTCTTGGTCAGGTAGTCAGCTGCCATCTCGGACGTGGGACAGTATGACAGCTCGAGCCTTCCCTTCTCGATCTCGTCCTTCACGAAGAAATATCGCAGGGCGATGTGTTTCGTCCTGTTCGCGAAGCCGTTCTTGTTGGCGATGCGAATTGCCGACTGGTTGTCGCAGAACAGGGTAAAGTTGGGTAACTCGGCTAACTTCGCTTCTTCCAGCAGCTCGCGAAGATAGAGTGGCTGAGCAGAGTGCAATATATTCTGCTTCAGCTGACGAGAGAGCAATTAATTCCTGCTTGCTCGACTGCCAAGAGATAGGTCCGATAGGTTCGAGGCGGTAGATGTAGCCGGTGCGGGAGCGCCTATTGTCGGAGTCGCCAGCGTGATCAGCGTCGACGTAGCCGATTAACTTAGTCGGCGTGGTTGCGTTCTTGTAGTAAGTTAGGCCGATCGTTGGGGTGCTGACGAAGTAGTGAAGAGCGCGGTCGAGCTCCGCCAGATGTTCTGCTTCAGGCTTCTTGAGGTAGGTGGCGAGCTGGCTTGCGGAGTATGAGAGGTCGGGGCGACAGGTGACGGCTGCGAAGAGAAGACATCCCAGCTTCTTCTGGTAGTCTCGTATGCCGGCGGGCTTGAGTAGAGCGGAGCTTCCTTTGTCGTTCCCTGCCGTGTAGCGGTATGGCGTGGAGATGGCTGTCGGTGTGAGCGTAAAGCGTTTGGCGATGGTGTCGGCATATTTCTCGGCGCTGAGGTAGATCGCGTCCTCCTCTTCCCGGATGTTGAGGCCGAGGTACTGAGTGACGGTAGATGAAACTGTGAGCGTGAGATCTCGCTGCAACTCCCCTTCGAACCAGGTAGTGATGCCGTCATTTGAGCCGATGTAAAGGAGATCGTCCACGTAGACGATTAGTAGGATGTAGTCGTCGTTTTTTGTGAGCCGGTTCATGCCTTGATCGTGCGGTAGTTGCTTGAAGCCGATGCGGATGAGGCGAGCGTGCAGGTACTGTTGCCACAGTCGAGGAGCCTGCTTGATGCCGTAGAGTGACTTGAGTAGCTGGCAGACTTGGTTGGGTTCTCTGTGGGAGCCGTGCGGTAGCTCGACGAAAATTTCTGCATCAACAGGTGCGTAGAGAAACGCGTTCGCGACGTCAATTTGTCGCAGCTTCCTCTTCTTCATGGCGGCGATTGCGAGGAGAATGCGTAGTGAGGTGTGGCGGCTAACCGGAGCGAAAGTTTCGGTGAAGTCGCGTCCGTGTTCTTGGTCGAAGCCGCGTACAACCCAGCGAGCTTTAAATTTGTCAATGGTGCCGTCAGCCTTTGTCTTCACACGGAAGACCCACTTCCCGGTGAGCACTGTCTTGTTCCGTGCCACGCCGATAGGAACCACTTTCCACGTGTTGCGTTCCTCCAGTGCCTTCAGCTCCTTGTCCATGGCTTCGCGCCATTTTTCCTTATGCTCCCCCCCCAGAGTCTGTTGAACCGTCGCAGGCTCTTTAGGAATGGCGGTGCCGTGGACTGCGGTGATGAGTCCGAGAATTTGCAGTCCACTCTGTGAGTAGCGGGGAAGATTTGCGTCCTCGGGATAAGCTGCTTCATCTCCCGCTTCTGGATCAGGTATGAAGTTGGGTCCTACTCGTTCTGCTTCGTTGGTGTTGACTGTCGCAGGTGTTACGTAACCGTTGTCGGCGAAATAGTAGAAGGTTTCGGCGTTGACACTTTCGCGAGGGTTATCTTCGTCCATGGGAACGTCGACGGAGCAGAACGGAAGAGGTCCGGCTTCTTCTAATACGTTGTCCACATTCTGCTCGTCCCAGTCAGCTTCGTCCGCTGCTGGGGCGAAGGCTCGGTCACCGCGAAAACCACCTGTGGGATCCTGGTCTTCTTGCAGGTTGGCAAGGTATGTCTGGAGCGTGAGTCGTTCGTAGAAAATTACATCACGTGCTGCTACTGTTTCCTTGGAATGGACGTCGAAGATTTTCCACGCGTTGTAGTTCTTTTCGATTCCCAGGTGTAGTCCCCACTGTGCTCGTTGAGAAAATCGGCCCGCTCGTGCTGCTGGGGGTCGGTACTGTACCATGCATCCGAATACTCGTAACATTTTTGTGCTGCCCTGTTTCCCTGTCCATAGCAGATGCGGTGATGCGTTGTTTGGAAGCGATGATGACGAGAGCAAGTTGTGCAGCATGACGGCGTGGTCCATTGCCGCAGGCCACTGGTGGTTGGGTAGCCGCATGCCACGTAACAGTTTGCGCATGCTGTTCTGCAAGGTCCTGTTCATTCTTTCTGCTACAC